AAAAGTTTGTTGCCCTAATTTTACATGGGATTTTGCCTTTTTCAAGTGCTTTTAAACATTAAATTAGGAACATTTTAATGTGATTAAACAATGAAATTACCTATAAACAAGGTCAATGAATGTGGCAATATGAATAAAAATACTTAAATGTACAGAAATATACAGTTAACAGTTGGTTTAAATAATAATGGATTGCATTCATATAGCGCTTTTTGAGACCCTCAAAGCGCTTTACAATTCCACTTTATAATTCCCCTCTGGCCATCACCAGTAGGTGGTAGGTGAAGCGTCTTGTCCAAGGGCACAATGACCGAGAGTGTCCGAGCCGGGGCTCGAACCGGCAACCTTCTGATCACAAGGCCAACTGCCAACTGCCAAAAGTTTATAAGAATCATTTTATATATTTTTCCATAGCATTACATTTGAATTAAACAGTTCAATCTTTCAAATAACGGACAAATATTTGTGAAATTCTGATACATTTGTGAATGTATTTTAACAATCTAAATATGCAAATGTACAGACAAATACATTTAAAAAACAAGAAAATTATGTTTTATTACATTTACAGTGATTTTACGTTAATTTACATTTGAAATGTAAAATCACAGTCTATTGATGTAAATTTAATGATATTCTAGAAGAATACACAGTAAAATACTTTTATATTACAATTTTGTTTTTACAGTGCAGTTGGTGAAATAGTAAAGTCGATTTAGCCCAGATACAGGTTTCCAAGATAACAGTAGTTAGCCAGTTATTTCATGCTACTGTAGCAACAAATGTGTTTAATTGAAGGTCACATTTACTTACAAACTCTCTCTGGCTACCTAGTTAGCATGACAAATAACTGATGTGACTTCTGTGCTGATGTGTGCACGAGCACAAAAGCCTTAGCTGAGAAGTTAGGCAGGAACAGGCGATTCTGCATCTTATTGCACTGATATTAGCCATAAGTTATTATTACAATTTATAAAACTTGTTAAATACTTTGTCAATTATTCCAACTTGATGCTAGCAAGAAGCTAACACCACCCGACCTTCTCAACTTGTGAGCTAAACTGGTGCCCTCCAGTCTATATTTTTAATACTATTTTATTTGTAAGCCTCTTCAAACTATCATCTTATATACATGCCTGTTATATGCCAAAACATCCTGTAATTATGATAGTCACACATACTCTAAGGAGTATTTAAGTGGAGATTGTATAGTTCCAGTCATTTTCCCCCTCACCCCCTCCTCCCTTCGTCCTTTCCTCACTTGTTACTTTGTTCCCCCCTGAACAGCTTGACGTTAATTCCCAAAGATATCTCCATCACAAACTTGCTGAAGTGATGGTGTCAGCCTTTAAATGCTGACGTGACTCGATGCGATTGTCTTTTTGCAAGTTCCTGACACGCAGGCAGAACATGCATGAATGCACACCAAGGAGTCTCTCTTATAATTGAGATGAAACAAATATGAACTCTTAATAAAACAAGCTCTGTTGCCTCCTGCAGAAAAGTCATTCTCTTCACTTGTGGTAACAGCAGCTTTGCACTGCTTTTTGAGCTGCATTTCCAAACTGTCCATTCTAATATTTTCACACTCTTGATTCCATGTTGACAGACAAATTTTCCTCCTTCCCCTTCATGTTAAGATCATGGTATACAGTCAGTGGTCACTTTCTAAGTCACATCTTGCTAGTACTAGGCTGAACTCCCTACATTAATTCCTCTGGAAACGTTTAACATAGAAGCCATTTAAGTACAGAGAACTCATTGTCATGTTCGAGAAAGCAGTTGGAGATGATCTGACTTTGTGACATTATCCTGCTGGAAGCAGCAATCAGAAGAAGGGTGCACTGTGGTCATAAAGAGATAGACATGGTCAGCGTCAGCCACAATTCTCAGTTCGGCTGTGGTGTTTAAATGATGCTCAGCCAGTACTATAGGGGCCCAAAGTGTGCCATTACACCACCAGCAGTCTGAACTATTAATGCATGGCAGGATGGATTGATGTTTCTGCTTTCTTTATGCCAAATTCTGACTCTACCATCTGAATGTCAAAGCAGAAGTGACGACTGAGACCAGGCAACATTTTTCCACTCTTCTATTTTGTTGAGTCCGTGTGAACTACAGCTTCCTATTCTGAGTTGAGCAGATCAACACGTGGTGTTCTCTTCTCTGACCATAGTCATGGTTATATAGATCAGTGCTTTCTGAGTTCTTTCAGCATATTTTGGTGCTTTTTAAATGATCAGTAGCATCTTAAAGCATTAAAGCTCGGAGATTCTGAGCTTTAAAATTGATCAGTTTGAGCAGAAGCTAAGTTAGATTCTCCTGATTTCGCTGGTGATGAAATTTAGGGAATTGAGACAAAAAAAATAGCACGATGTGGGGTTACTGAGAAAAACAAACTCATAGCTCTTTAATTCTATCTGATGATATTTTATTGGACCATAGTATTACTGAACACACCTTAAACTTTAAATCAGCAATAACCTCCTCAGCATCATCCCTTGGCCTCGTTTTCAGTGTGGAAAGCCAAATTGGCTCAGGCAAGAGGAAAGTCTGCCAGGGAGATCTTTCTCTTGTTCTCATGAGGTTGAAAAAAAAATCACATATGTTTTATTTATTTATATTTTTCTGTTTTGCGTTTGTTCCGTGTCACCTTGTTCAACAATTCACAAACTGTGGTTAGAAATAGTTTGACAAAACAATCTTAACTCAGGAAAGAATTTTAATAAATGACATTTCTTAGTTTTCCTTTTTTTCTTCACTTTGGTTCAGAAGACTTAGCGCACTGTACCTGGAGTGTATTTTTTAGCCAACAAACAAATAAACACACAATTAAGGTTTTTCTGGGTAAAACCTGAAATGAAACTGGCTCCAAGTTTTGCTTTTGCATGTCATCAGTCTGAAAGTGAAATGCAGTATTTCTGGATTGGCAGTTCTAGTCAAATAAATGGCTCTAGCCCAGTATTTGATTCCTATTGTCTCTGTCTCCTGGCTTTTAGCAAGGTCTTGGTTTGAGGTGAAACTCATTTGTGGCAATTGAAAAGTAGCGCACAGGGGAGAATAAAGAATCAGTGCTTATATATGGGATGTAGCAGGTTGACCTGGCACGGCATAGCTCAGCATGGCACAGTATGGCAGGCTCCAATGAGGCTTCACCCTCCCAAGGCTCCATCCCGCCTGAGCTCAACACAATCAGGCCTCCACAGCGAGACCGACTGCAGGTTACCATGACAACCCGGAGGCACTGCCTGCATGGGACAAAGGCTGGCAGGTCCTGCGCGTGTGTGTGTGTGTGTGTGTGATGATTGAGAGACAGAGTGAGTGATGTGTGGCAGAGCAGGCGCGGCCCTCCTGGGGCCCTCATTCGTTTGTCTCTCGCTGAGACCACAGGAGCCCTGATGCTGCAGAGATGGAGGTGGTGGCGGTGGATGGGGTGGGAGAAGAGGAGGGGCGATGGGAGGGGGCAAGCCAGCAAAAAGCAACTGATGTTGAGAGACGATGATGAAAAGATGCAAAGAAAGGTGTAGTGTAAGAGAAAAGAATAAGAAATCAAAAGGACGGCAGTACAAACAGATTTGGTGGATTGGATTGTTCTGCCCCCAGTCACTCGTTCACTCATTCATCAATCATGTGCGAAGCTTCGTCGTACAAAACACGGGTCTTGACAAAAGTTGATTTTAAAAAATGGACTTCACCACTACACTCTGGCAAATTAATTGCACCAATTAGTGGAGCACTCAAAATTCAAAATTTTAATAACCTGTCTACCACACAGCAAGTTGCAATGACTTGAAACAGCACTGCTTTACAGAATGTAATAAAATAAAAAGTGCACTTATCCAATGCACCAGGCATTAAAAATGAGGAAGCGATCTCTTTAAGCATATTGGGGTTGATCATTAATTGTCTCAGTTCCTGACGCACATTTGCTCTCTGCCTTGTATTCATTGAATTTTCCTCTGCATTTTGGAATTTGATATTTTCATATAAACACCATTAAGTGGACTTTCACTTGTTAACCTCAGAGGGTCAGAGTAAAATGTGTTCTGTCTATGCAGCTCCGGCATATAGCCTGTGCCCACCACTCTGTATAAGTGAGCTCAGAGACAGGAACTATGTTAACTTTGGAGATGACTCAGTTGATGTCAGTCTGCTTCTTAGAAATGAGTCATCACATGAGTTTGTGTTCTGAACTACAGCTTGTATAGACAAGGAGAAACTTCACCTTTGCCTTCTCAGACCTTCACTGAAGTACAGAAAATAAGAAGTGTTAAGAATTACAGGATACAGTCATTGTAATAAGAAAGCGCAACCTCTTTTATTTAAGACACGGCAAAAAATAATCTGGTTCTTGGTAGGTTCTATAATTTTTTTCAATAGAACCTCAGATGAACAACGTTGACATGTTACATGTGATAATTTAACAATAATGGACAACCAGTGTGTGAGTTAACAATTATTTAGTTACATCCAGGTGCTGCCTAATCAAATGCAGTGATTAACTATGTGATCATTTCTGTAAAAGCAGATGTTTTGGCAGTTTGCTGGTCTGAAACATTCAGGTGTGTGTTCACACGATGCCAAGGAGCAGAACTGAAAACAATGATCCCACTCACAGCAGCACATCTACAACAGAATGGTTTTGGGGGGGGAGTAGCAAGGTGTTGCAATGGCCCAGTCAAAGTCCAGAGCTCAACCTGATTGAAATGTTGTGGCAGGACCTTAAGAGAGCTTTGTAGGAAAACAAATGCCTGCAAAGCCTTTTGTTAAATAAATAAATGAGAAGATGTGCATCACCACAGATGAGCATCGTGTTTACATATGTAAATCCTTAGTATTGACAGAGAGCGCACGTTCTTTTTGACATGACTGTAAGTACCATGATATTGACTGACTGAGAAATTGAGGTCTGTGCTGATCTAATATAAGAAATACACTTTTAACCAGAAAAATTACTTGCAAAACTAAATCCATCATATTCTTTCTGTTTTCTTTTCCAGGTTTAGATCACACAAACAAGGACCTAAAGAAAAACTTTGTGAGTAAACTCAAAATCAATGTGCCTTAAATGAATTTGAGCATTATCTTAGAGGCTTTTCTCTCAGCTAGAGTTGCTTCTCTGTTCGTTAAAAGATGAGACAATAAAAGTTTCATATAGTTATAAAGCTGCGAGGCTGGTGTTACACTGGCTGGCCATAAAGCATATGTGAAGTGGCAGCGTTGTTTGCTCCTGCCTTGTCATTTATAATCCTATAGGCAGTTTGAAGCGTGCAGGCCAACTTGTACTTTGTCACAGCAGATTGTCTGGCATGGATAAGCCTGGCTGCAGAGAGAGAGAGAGGGAGATACATAATTGCTCTCTTGTACAGTCTGCTGCCAAGACATCCTCCTCCCGTTATGCCTATATACACTGGCAAACAAGTCATTCAAACATGTTCACTTTTATGACACACACACATAAACCACACCGACACGCAGCAGCATCTCCTCAGTGACAGTGATTGCCGTCAGTCAGAAGAAAAATGTTGACAGTCTAATTCAAGTGCCACTATCGAGAGTTTTTTATGGGATTGCTTCATTTCCTGTCATGTCATCCTGATGTTTTGTGTTGAGGGTTATGCTGTCGTACACTACTCCGCATTTGTTTTCTGTCTCGCTTTTCCAGGAGGCCCGTGCCAGTTTTGACCTGCGTGCATCTCACGATCCCATGCCTGTCAGAAATGAGGAGAATAGGTAATGACTCCTGTCCTTTTACTCTTACCTCTAGATATCCGATCCCTATATTTCTCCCTTCCAAAACCAGGAAACTGATCAAACGTCATGTATAGTGGCCCTAACGTGAGATGCAAACATTCAAGCTAAGCAACCGAGCTAATTCTTGGACCTAAAACTAGCTTAACTGGCTGCAACAAGCGACAGCTGTCCTCTCACAGAGAAAGAATCAGTGGACGTTGGTTAGAATGTGAGAATCTTGAGTTTGCCTGTCTGAAATCAGAGATCTATCATGTTACACTGGAAGTCCGCTGCTGTCATTTCATGAAAAAGCTTAACTGACTAACTGTAGCTCAAGACATGATATCAAGGTCAATTTCTCTTTTTGCTAATTAAAGATTTCAAAACTAAATCGTTGCACGTGTCTGGTGTCAACCTACAACATATTACCTGTTTTTTTTTCATGCTTTGATTATTGGAGGTGAGACTTCCAGTATCTTAGTGTTCTTTTCTGACAATGTGAGCCAATCATATTGAGGAGATGCCATAATTACTGCGTGTGCTCAGGCTAAAACCCCTCCCCAAAAAAGAAAACGCTCATCTCAGCTTATTTAGTCTCTGTATGTGGCTAACATCTTATTCCCCCTCTGTCTCAGTCACGGTACCCATTGTGCAGGGGAAGTTGCCATGGAGGCCAACAACTCCTACTGTGGTGTGGGCATCGCCTTCAATGCCAGGATTGGAGGTGAGGAAAACAATACAGCCTTAAAAAGACCGTAGGAGGCAGTGCATTGTGGGTGTGCTGCACTGGCCAAAACGAGGACATGGCATAAGAAGCAGTTTTTAAAACACTTGTTATACTACATTGGTGCTATATTATTATTATTATTAATAATATTATTCGTTTACTTGATGAAAAATGCATGCTTTGTGACTTTAGGACAGCTGTGCAGCTCTATTGGTAAAGACAGAAGAAAAGGTTTTTTAGTGGTGCTCAGTATACCTTTGGGGATTGACAGTAGGGCCAGCACCTTATCTAACAGAAATCTATTCATTTCTGACCAATTATAAACCACTAGTTTTTACAAAAAAAGAGGAAAGGAAATAATTTTAGCACAATGCTGTGATTTTTCTTTGCCTGTGGTTAAAACCTCTTTGGAGGAAAAACCCTGCATGCATAATACACCTGCTCTAACTTTACAAGGTCTCACTTACTTTATTATGAAATGATAAATAATTCAAACTCACCTTTACTGGCAGAAATTCGAAAGTAACAAATATTCCAAAAACCAAAATACCACATCCACATGCTGAATTACTTTTGAGAGAAAAGAAAAATGCTCAGCATCATTTCCAGATGCAAATGGAAATGATGCTGAGTAAAACGGTTGATTTTATGTTTGGTTTAGGTGAAAATTAAAATGTCGAGCAGAAACACTGTAAAATGTGGCAGAAAATCACAGGAAATCGTGCCAAATTTTCACAGTGAAGTTTTCCTTGTCGGTATAAATTTTCAACGCCTGCGTATATATTTACAGTGAACATGGCTTTAGGTTTATGCGAATACAGGTCACTACATATTGACTGGGTGCTATTCAGGCATGCTGCCCCTATTTAACAGCTCATTTTTTAGTGTAATGGCTTTTTTAGTGTTGGTAGTAACATCGGAAAAGGATGAATGAACTGAATACATAAGATTGCCCATTTTCCCGTTGTGAAATCAAAGATTTTTACAGGGTTTACCAAGAGTGCTGTAACCCACAAGTTAATGAGGAGTACATAATGTGTTTGAATAAGAACACTTCCTGCAGCTCTCAGATCCTAAATGACTCAAACTGAGTTTAATGCAGCGATGGCATCAGCACAAAATAGAGAAAATGAGAAGAGGAATCCCTCAGTTGAACTCTGGCATTTGAACTCTGCTCTGTGATCTTTAATCTCTGACCCGTCCTCGTTTGTCACAGGCAGATGAGCGTCTCATGCAAAAAAGAGAGCGAAAGAAAAACAGTTTGACGGAGCGAGAGCACGAATTTCTTCCCACAGTTAGATTCGATTTTGCTTTGTTGGTTCCATTTGATTCTGACTCATAAACAGTCTGTATGGCACACAGGAGACGAAGGGGCAAGACCTGCATGAAAGATGCATGTTTTGACTTGAGCTGTCACACAGCTGGCTAAGTGAAGTTCTTTGCCTCTGTTTGTAGTGTTTGTATTGACAATTTGTGTTCTTGTTTTTCACAGTCACCACACAAACTTTTCAAAACCTTAGAAAATGTGCATTATTCCATCTGAAAACATGTATTTTTCATCTAAACTGACTGTACATGCAATAATAGATGCTAAGCTGAATACATGTGGTTCTTGGCTATGGCTCTCCAACGACCTAATTCTGAAAAGTTGCTTCGTCAGATATCCCAGCTCTTGAGCATATTAACATCTCAGCACAGAAACAGACTCCATTTTTTAAATGTAAAAAAAACAACTCTTTAATGCTAGCCAGGTCTAATAAATAAGAAAGAGACTTTTTTTCCTGTAAACCTTCCTTTACTCCACTGTCTCTAGTCGCTGCCATCTAATGACAGCAGTCTTTTGTTCTATCCACAGTCTCTAATTGGAGTGATGTTGTCAAGCTACAATTACAAAGGACACATCCACTGTTTAGAATTTATGCAACAAGCAGCAGAAACCTAAATGCACATCTGACTTGTGGTTTGGATTAATTACTGTATAGTTTCTACTGCAAATCAAAAAGAAAAAAAAACCACACATTTAATTCAATTAAAATTTTTCTCTATCTGATTCTTTCACAATGTCTGACCCTGTCACTTCAACTGGCCGTATTAGGGATTTGAGTTCTCCAAATTAAATTACATCACAGGTAGACAGTAGCTGTGACGACCAACACGATAGTAGAGAGATTATTTGAAGTATTATTTCAAACATGACATTTATTTTCAAATCCCCATCCATCCATCCATTAATCTTCTTAACCCATTATCAAATTGTTGAATAAAATGTATATTTATTTTTGAAAGCTGCCATTCTTAGTAAAAAAAAAAAGATTAAGTATGTTTTTTTTTCACACAAATAGAGATTAGCTGGTGAGCATTTACTTGCTAAAAGTGAGACATGCAGGAACTAAAAAGATGGTGAATACTGGATTTAGATTCAAGATGTATATAAATATTAATGTGAGTCTTTATCAGTTGGATGTGGGAGGGACCACATCAGCTTAAAATGTTATGATACACTATTTAAATGTTAGTTAAAAAATATATCAGTGATTGCAGTCCTAAATGAGACCCACCCCCACATAAATGGACTCCAGTTTTGCGATCAGAAATCTTAAAACAGTTGATAACTTGTGCAGTGCTGACACTCCACACTTTCCAGTAGCAGATTTACCGAATGTTGGGTAAAGTGAAGTAATCCATAGTTTCACCCTGTAGGTTGTATATACTGGGATGTTTTTGGCTGCTTTTCTCAGCTTTGATAGCATGCTAACTTGGGGTGACACCCCCCAGGGTCCCTCGGGGCAAATGGAAGAAAAATCTCACTCTCACTGTAGCTTCTCTGTCCACTGACATTACATTATAACAGTTCATGGCTGCTGCAGACACAGTTGCACTGCAAGTACTGAGCTTCACAAACTCTTATTTCACAGTTAAACTGATGAAGTAACTTCTTTTGAGACATACGTTAATCATTTTATTCAGTTTATAATGGTGGTCAGAAAGTATCAATCAGTAAATGCAGAGGAATGTGAATATATCGACAGTGAGGGGATGAGATATAGCTATAGTTTGTGTTGTTTTCTATTTCCTTTTTTTTTTCATTTTGCACAAGCCTTCCTCCAAACTCTGATCTCTGTGACCTTTTCGATGTGACCAGGTATCCGCCTGTTGGATGGCTCTGTGACGGATGCCATGGAGGCCACAGCTCTGACCTTCAACATCCACTTCATCGACATCTACGTCTGCAGTTGGGGCCCGAGGGACGACGGGGCCGAGATGGACGGGCCGCAGAGCCTGACAGAGCAAGCCCTCCGGCTAGGAGCTCACAAGGCACAGCTTTCATCTCTAAGTTCACACTGCTGTCTGTCAGATGTAAAGCCGACAGTCACACTGTCAGTGGAGCTGGGATTGGAAGGACAAAATGTCGAGTGTTCAGATTTCCTAGCCAGATTTAAATCCTCATTTCCTTATTTATTTATATCTTACGGAGAGTACGTTCATGACACGTACTGTAACAAAGTCAATCTGCTACTTTTGCCACATAGTCAGACTGCTCCAAAACAGACTATTTGTTTTGTTTTTTAGATGAATATTGCAGGAAACTCTATTGATGGCTAATGGCAGGCTGTGTGTGTGTGTGTGTGTGTGTGTGTGTGTGTGTGTGTGTGTGTGTGTGTGTGTGTGTGTTGTAATCCAGGCCTTTCATTTATTTGGTATTCACTTCCAATACATGTGACTATTTTTGTTTGTTCATATAGACAGTAAGAGCATGACCTCCCACACAAAAAATACACTGATCAGCCACAACACTGAAACTAATGACAGATGACTAGAATAACACTAGTCTTCTAGAGACCGTGTTCTTCTGGGATATGTTGGGTCCTGGCATTCACAGGGACATCATTTAAACTTAAAGAAAGACGGATATAGCGATCATGGCGTTGCCCGCTGGTTTGTAACATCCAGTTTTGAATCCTTCACATGAGCATTTTCACAGTCACCATCTTGGTATTTTGAAACCAGATGTGACAAGCACGGTGACTGTGAAGCTGCACTCTCATTGGCTAATGACTTGTGACTGACATGTCATACCCTGGACAATTCTCCTTTCTAATATGTAGATAACCCAAATTTAGGAGCCCATAACCCATAAACTAATCAGGAAAGTGTTTATAGAGATCAGGACAGAGAGTTGGTTTTCCATAGATTTCCATGAGACCAAACCACAGGTTTTGCCCCCCTGGTGGCAATGAATAATAATGCAGGGTACTTGCCCACTGGCTTCACGTCTTTTTGTAGCGCTAGAGGCTACATCTTCTCTTGTCTCAGTCAAACTTCTTCTTGGGTACTTGTAGATTGCACTGCAGTTATTAGATTCTGTGTTTCCTGTTCACATCTTCCATGTGCTCTGGTTTTCTCTGTTTCGCTAATTCTTTACCGCTCTGGAAAAGTAGAAAACTGCTTTTAATTATATTTCCTTTGAAAGTGCCTGTCACCAAGGCAACAACGTCAATGTCCAGTATCACCAATTCATAATTTAGCTGAAATGTTATTCTCTTCAGCGGTAAGTCTAATTTCTAAGCCAGTAAAGGATTTATTTGCACAAGTCTTAGTTTTAAGCTTCAGTAAACAGCACAAGAAATGTTTATACAGCTGCTGCACTACAGTTTTTTTGGTGCCATAAACCAAGATCGAAGAACAGAATTTAAGCACAACTTCACTCTTGACTCTGGAAAAACTGTTCTATGATAAAATGTTCAAAACACGGTTTGCTTACTGATTTTCAAGCATATGTGAGTAACTTTAATCCTGGTTCCTCAATTTTTTGGGTTCTTAAAAAGGATTATCATCCTCTGAAGACAATATTGCAGTAAAAGTGTGCTCTTTTAGCAAACTAAGGGTTAAGGATGATAATGATAACTTCCTGGTTTGAATCTGGATGACGCCTTTTGTTTCAAATGTTTCCCCTTTTCCACAAGCTCTTTCTAAAAAAAGAACTAAATTACTAGCTGCCCCTCAGTTTCAGCATTTTTTTCACAAGTTAATGAGCCTGATTTTCAGTGGTGTACTGGCTTTCAAGGTCAAGTGGACACCACAGAAAATATATTTCTTAATTTATTCTTCACTGCTTCAGCTTTGAGTTGTTTTGGTCTTAGTGATGCCCTGTGAGAGCTGCTCCTTACACTGTCCTTTGTGAAGGTTCATGTGCTGATGCCTTTGAGGAAAAAATAGTATTTGAGGAAAATTTTAGTCACCTCATGAGGCATTAAAAATGTTGCATTAAAAAGACCTAAATTTAGCACAGGATGCGACAACACCAAAAAGAAGACATAAAATGTAGCAACTCAAGGGACCATGTGGGTTGGACCATGGACAGTTGGGCAGTAAGCAGCACATAATCTCATTATAATGTGATGGTATTTTCATTACACTGGGTTCTGCTAAGGCCTTTAAACACCAGACACATAAAGTTTTGTGAGAATATTTTGACTACGTGAGTTTGCTGAATGAATCTGCGGCATTCATTTTTTCAGCCGGAAAAAGTGCACTCATAGCTCAAATTTTGCACCAGTACAGAATATAAAAATGGTAAAATAATATTGGTTTAACTTAGACACACAGCTAGACACTGGTCTGGGTCATGGCTCTCTGGAATGATTTCTCTGACTCCTCAGATGTTGTCCCAACTCTGGGAACAAGAGCTCAAACGGTCCCAGTTGACATCTTGAAATATGTACGTATGCGATCGGGATACAGCTTCATATTCTGGATCAAACCATGAAATTTTCCCTCCTGCTGCATTCTCTTGAGAACTGTAAGAATCTTGGTTTTAGCCTTTTCTTGTTGGAAAAAATCAAGACTGAAATTTTTTTTGCATTTTTTGAGAACAACTTTTCACAAAAAGCCAAGCTAGCATAAGCCAGCAATGGACTCCTATGACTTTTGTAGATTGTTGTAGCAATTTATCACATCTGGCTAGTTTCATCATCAGAGTGTGTTGTGAATGCAGTATTCCCTTTACCATGTATATAAAAAAGTGCAAGAAAGACTAGTCTGAATTCAGGGTACATGGGCTTTTATACATATAAAATGATAATACATTTTACAGGAACAAACTGTCCATGTTACATTATGATAGGAAAAATAAAAACAGTACTACTAACACATAGCTGGAGTAACAGTATGTTATTGTAAAGCTTGCATTGTGCTTTAGCTTTCAGTGCTAGAATTTAAAGGAAAGTTTGTTGGGATGCAAATGACAAAACCCATCAAAATAGCTACAAAGCAAACAGCTTAAAAGATATTTTATGAAAGACTTACATATGTTATACACATAAAACAATAACAGCTTTTCCAATAAAACATTTGTTGACAACGTTTGTTTTAGATATAAATACAGTTTTTTGTTAGTATGTGAGATCTTTCTTTTTTTCATTCTCTTTGACATCCCACTGTTTGTTTTCTCAGGGCCGAGGTGGGAAGGGCAGCATCTATGTGTGGGCGGCAGGTAATGGTGGAATGCAGCATGACCACTGCGGTGCAGATGGATATGTTAACTCCATCTACAACATTGCCATCGGCGCCGTCACTCAAACTGGGAAGCCCACCTTCTTTGGAGAGCCCTGCCCTGGAGTGATGGCCGTCACTCTGACAGGGACCAGCGTGGGAAGCTCATTACCTTTGGTTAGTGTGTGTGTACCTCCCAACACATCTAACAACAGTATTTATCATTAATGAATGTATATACAGTATGTGTATGTGTGCACATCAGTGCCAGCAGCCCTGATCTTTGGCTCCTGTGAGCTGTAAGAAGCCTGTTAAAGAGCAGCCACTGGTGTGGTATTTATAGAGACTTGCCAAATGACCTAGGTGACTGCTGGGCACACACATGCAGACACGTAGGAGCCAACGAGTGTTAATTGGAGGTAAAGCGTGGCTGTAGTGGCTGAGAAAGAGAGAGGAAGAAGCAGAGGTGTTGATGGCGGAGGTAACACTGAAAAGCCAGGAACAAATCCAGCGCCAGCTACAGAAACAGAAAGGCCAATTTTATCAGTGTGATATCACCCTCGTCTGCAGGGAGGTCTGCCCTTTACCACCTCACATTAGAAGGTGGTTAGACCAGAATGCAGTTGTTTTGTTACTGTTAAATTGTGTTGACGTGTTCTAATGACAGAAGAACCGCTGTTGACACAGTAGCTGCTATAGTGTGGAACCAGTAATGGCTTAATTAGCTGCAAACAACTCACGTGCACCTCCCCTTTACAGCATATATACTGGTACATGTAATATAATATATCATGTAAAATTAGTTCCTTTGTGATTCCTCCAGGTGACTGTGACCAACATTGGTGATGGATGTGTCACACACTTTCCAGGAACATCCAGTGCTGCTCCGATTGCTGCAGCGATTCTGGCTCTTGCCTTAGAAGTAAAGTGAGTTTTTTTTTCTTCCTACTTATTCTACAATCAAATAATGATATAAAATTGAATTTCATATCGTGTTCATTTATGTAGGATTAATTTTGTGCTGCCTATATAGTGAATCCTAATAACACCTGCGATCATCAGATCTTTCATTTAGCACCCCCTGCAGGTCACATGTTCACTGCTGATTTGTTCATCAATAGCTCAGGTTAGCAACAGGCAGACCACGGTCCAGACCCAGATGCTCTTATTTACGGATCTAGACATATTACTACATTTTGACAATTTTTTATAATTATTTACGGTATGGTTATTTTAATCTGTGCAAGGGTTAAGTTATTTACACCGACCAATCGTGTACATTCTAACTTATCCCACATGATGCTACTCAGCCAATGAAATCATTTATTCAGAGCATGTGTGAAAACAGAAAACTCTGAGATGCAGAAGTCAGATGAAGTAAGTCAGGAAAACAGATAGGGAGCAAGAAGAGTTTTGTCTGGAAACTAATTGTTCAAAAACTATGTTATTAATTTTTGCTTGTAAACATTATTTTACTCAAAATAGGGAAAGAACATTTTATTATTACTTTAATATTTTATTAATAGCAGCACACATTGACGTATTGTTGAATCCTACTTTATTTATTTTACTTTAAAACCAGTTACAACCCTGGAAACAGACATTAAACTGTTAGACTACTTTCAAATATATTACACTAAATTATCATGCACATGGAAATGCATGATATTTTGGACCTTTGTTTGAGGACATTTTCTCTGACTAGGCCTCTTTAAATTTTAACTGAATGCTGATTTACAGAGGCCCAGGCCCAGTCAGTATGTCCTGATGACGTTGTGATCCATTTACCCAACATCTGCATTTGTTCAGTATCGGTAAAGGCATTGCTAACAACCTCTTTTAAAGTTCACTGCCAATTAGCAAATGCTAACATGCTAACACTAGGATTTTTTGCTTGTGTAAACATTGCCCTTGCAGATATGCTAGCTGGCTGATGTTAGTGTGTGGCAGACGCACTGCTTTACCATTTGGAAATCTCACAAAGCCAATATTGTTGTCTTGACACTTGCTATAGCATAGACAGTCTCTATCTGTATTTGTGCGTCACAAACATTGTGAACACACATTGTGAAACTTTACGGTATTTATGTTTGAAAATAGGCTGGCCCATCTCACAACTGCTGAGTAATGGAGTAAAAATTGTTGTTGGTGTGACGGCCAGATGGTCTCAAGACCTTATGCATAATATTCTAAAATAAAAACACAGGATTAGAGCAGGGCGATATGACCAAAAATATTTATCACAATATACATTTGAAAATTTGCGATAACGATATAACTGACGATATAATTGACACTA